TAAGTATCTATGTGCTATTCTTTCATAAACATTGTCTCACTGACGAGAAGATCATTGCGCTTTCAAACAAACTTTACTCATACGACATTAGGCGCAAATGGGCAGCATAGTTTGAAAATAAAAGGAGTATGAGGAAATTAGGAAAGGTAAAGGAAAATAGCAAGATTACCTCCCCACAGTGCTCTTGTGCAAAAAAAAACATAAAATGATGCAGCTTATGTCTGCTATCTACAACGGAAAATCCCGAAAATCAAGATCCAAATGTGGAAAAACCAAGAACGTTTCTCAGAACTTATCACTACTTTCAAACGATACCTTTCAATAAACACTACATCATCTTCGCTGCTAACATCTTGTGCGGAAGAGCAAGTGGCTGTTGTACGGCGTCTGAATAGATCATGTAAGTCCCATTTCATCAAGTTGCCGACAGTAATGAAGCGTAAACCCTTTAAACTCACCGTAACACTGACTGTGGTCGGGACGTCGAGGGTGCACTATTTGCAATTGACAAGCGAGTCGATCTCTTCCGCAATGATGTAAGCAAAGGAATAGCTACATCATCTTTATACCCGGTGCTGGTGCTCGGCTTTTCAGCAGCAACCATTCTTCTACGTTTTGCTGTTGATGTTGTTTCACTAACTAACTCCATTTGCGAAACGGCCAAGTGCGAGGTAGTAGGCTCAACTGTTCTCCTGCGTCTAGAAGCTCTTGGCAGTATTTCCGATTCTATGATTATCCCCTTTGAAGAAGGTACAGAATCTTCTACAACATCAGTGCTAATCAGACTTTCCAGGATGCTCGTTGCTCTTCGCTTCGCCCTGGCACGAGGCGCTAACGTTTTTGTGCCAGCTCTCTTCGCAGAAGGGACATTATTCTCTGCAGTGGTTGGTAAGCTCGTTCTCCTTTGCTTTGCTGGTTCTACTGCAATCTCTAACTCCGAAATTTTTCCCATTTTCCGTTTCCTTTCTCCATGTTCCTTAGCACCAGCTCTTGATGGTTCAGTCTCAAGACTGACAGTTTCAGTGGGTGTCCCAACTTCTCCAGACAAGTTTGTCTCTTTACTTGTTAGAAAGTCGTCAACAACAACAATCTCCTCTTCAACAGCCGCTTCTGCTTCTATAGGGATTATCTCAGGTGTAAAGCTTCTTTTTCTTCTGCCTCTTTTCGGCGTAGCCGAGCTTTTGGTTTCACTTTTACGAGCCCTCAAATTTTCCACGTTAAGAGGGGATGCAGCAGATACTGCCACCTCAGCTAGAATATCAAGCCCAGTATCTGTGAATAGTTCAGTTCTTCTCGCATCTTTGGTAGGAGGAACAGTACACGCTAAACAAATTGCTTCCAGTAGTTTGATGGGAAGAGCAATTTCGGCTAAAGCCACAGATGGAACAGCGATGAATACAGCTGCAGTTTTCACACATGAATTTTTTTGCGCTACACTTGAAGAAGTCCTGCGCTTTTTTGTTGTGCCCGACAAATTTCCGGCTGCAGTTTCAGGAGGTGATGATCTGGAGATGCTTGGAACCAAAGCTGGGATAGATAATTGCGTCCCACTTCTCTGCATTTGCTTCTCTCGAACACTAACAGGGCCTTCCAAAGACGCTCGGGCTTGAGAAACTGGAGTACCGATCGTTTCCTTAAGAACGGCTAGATCTTTCTCAGGTAGTACTTTTCCATCAGGAATTGACTTCTTTCTCCGCGTTGCTTTGGGATTGAGCGAAGCAGACTTCGGCTCTGGCTTGGGCACTTTTTTCTGGAGTTTTTCCGATTGCTCAACCTCTCTGCTGGGTTCCGAAGGAGTTATGTGCTGATATCGTGCTTGCTCCTTCACAGACCTCTTTCTAGCTGGTACTGCGTTAGCAGCGTGAACACTTCTCTTTCTTGTTGGTCTTTTCAAAGGCTCCCTAATAACTACCTCAGCAACTTTTTCAGGAGTTGAATCTGCTCTAACGAAAGATGTCAAATTTGAGGGCGTAACTTCAAACAGCTTGGCGGACGGTTCTCCCGTATTCTCAACTATCTTGATAGAATCATCATGTACAACGATATCTTCATCCTCGCAGATAACAAGGCGATCAGGGGAATCGGATAGACCACTGCTCTCCGAGCGAGGAACATTTGGAAGTTCGAGCTGCGTTACAGGTTCGGGTCTGCTCTTCGGGCTGATCACTCTCACCTCACTTTCCTGTAACTTTATTTTTGAAAAGGTATGATTTACACTTTTATCGATAATTTCTTTGCAAACCATACTTGATATGCGGAACTGTCCCAAATTTCAGCATCCTTCAATTCCCTTAATCCTTGCCTACGGGTGGTTGTTCTTCCCTACAACAAGCAGGTGAACAAGCTTTCCTTAAGGATTCTCATCCTTCCCCTAAAGAAAATTCCCATTTACCTTCCTCATTGGAGGTGGATGAGGCGGTGATGTTTCAATGTACTGACTAGGCATAGTTCCAGTTTCTAGAAGCAACAGGACCTCATTTAAGCTATCACCTCGTTCTCTAGTAAAGGCTGCATCATCAGCAGGTATGCTTCCTGATTTTTCACGGCTTATAGGTGCTAAATACATATCGTATTCGATAACTGAAGAAATAAATCAGAAAAACAAAAATAAGGAAGTATAATGGGTTCCGAAGCAGTCGTGTCAGCGTTAACGTGCAGATGCTTACCTCTGCAAAAGTATCTGGCCACGCTTACATTCTTATCTTTGAGAATTGCGAATGCGCTATTTCCAGCAAGTATATCGAACACCCAGTAGGAGCTGATCTCATCGTATTTTGGTACTGCAACAACGCGCAAGAGTATGTCCGACTCAGCACCGCGCCACTGAGACTCAGTTGCATAGAAAGACTGCAAATTTACCTGCACAGCTAAAAGCGGCACTTCCGCATGATGCATCAGCGAAAGTAGTTGAGCAACCAATACCTACGTCTTCAACCTTTCGCACTCCTTGAAAAATTGCAAGCTCGCTGTTTGTGGATGCTAAACAACGAAGAATATGTTTCTAAAGTGAACATGGAGTTGACCTACAATGTTAAAATACGACCATTGCTGCCGCTTTAGAAAACCTGCTCTCTCGCCTTCGCTCAATTACACTTAGTTTTCAAATAGATGGAGAATGACAATGACGTTATTTGTACAAAGAAAGTATGAACTCGCGTTGATAGGAAATAAGCCTTTTTAAATAAGTATGATGATAATAGCGGATATCAGCCGAAATGCAGAGTGCTACACTCTATGGGAAAAACAGCGACCACGCATGTGGATAACTGCGTAAGAAGAACAGCGTTAATTCTGTTGAACATCCAAAAATTCAAAAAAAAAA